ATCTCCGCAGAGGGTTGCGCGCACACCGGACAAATCGCACTCTCGCCCACCCTCCGCCTTTAAGAGAGAATTTATAAAGTGGGTAAATGTTTTTCATTAGGACATCTCCCGTGCAAGTTTTCCATACTCATACTTGCATACTTGCACTGGGATTGCACTGGGATACTTGCATACTTTTTCACTTGGATACTTACACTTGCATACTTACCCTTGGATGCTTTTTACCCTTACACTGGGATACGTATAGACGTGTATGTGTTCCAGTGTCAGTGTGGAAGCGTCAGTGTTCAAGTGTAAGTGTAGAAATGTCAGTGTTCAAGGGATTTTCCGGAAGAACCCTTCGCAATGCTTTCGGGAAAAAGAAAAAAGAAAGAAAGAAAGAAAAAGAAGGAAAGGAAAGAAAAAGGAAGCTCAGTTCTTTTAGCATCACCCATCTTTTGTTTTGGATCACTGCTCGTGCCTGACAATATCAGAAAACACCCTTTAATTCGTGTCCCCTGGTATCTAACTGGGCAAGTTGGCTCTTCAAGGTACCCGTTTCACACCCAAGGTCGCCTCAGAACCCATGTGGCAAATTCCTTAAACACAGCAAGTTCTTCGTCTCTGCACACCTCCCTTTTATGTTGCCAAATTCTTCCAACTGTAACATAGGTGACATAGGTGTCGAGATACTTGGTTTGGCCACTGGCCACCTCCAAGGATGGACCACATTCCATCAGTGGAGAGAACAACTCTCTTGGTGTGGTCCCAGGTTGTAGTGAACCGGCCAACCAGGAAGGCCGCTGAAGACTGAGGACTGTTTTTTGCAAACTGTGTCCATCCATCCAACGTGATGTATGTAATGTTTAATGTACTGTAATATACTCCACACTCTGCTGCGCTTAATTGATCCAAGAGGCCAAAACAAATACATATCGCACCAATGCAGCCAACTGTCTCCAGGCCATATTTCTGCTGCAGAGGCTTGTAGACTCCCAACTGATTCGAATCGGACATGACGTTGATCGCCAAATGTCATGAAACTTTGTCGTCTGAGACCCATACCGTTTATCAACAATATCTTCCAACTATATAGTTCTCTCCAGGGGAACTGCAGCCAAGACTACTTCTGCACAAAACGCAGAGTAGACCTTGCATGACAAATCTTCGACCAGCTACTGACTTGTAGTATGGAATAGAAACAGCATTTTCCTTGCTAGCGCTCCCTCGCCTCCCCCCGGAATCACGCCTGAAAAAACAAGACGGAAACACTTGCACTGGTGAGATACAGCCCAATTCTTTGAGGTTCAGATCTGAAAATGCCAGAGGCGTCGTGCAACAAGAGGGGCGTGAAGAAGGAGAAGCATGTCTGGCTGATTACATAGAAGAATGACATCAGAAGAACCTGGCAGGTCATTGCAAAAAGATCTTCTTCACTATTCCTGACTCCTGACTATCAAGAATTTCCAAGTTAGTTCATAATTCCACAAAATGGCTATATATAATGTGCATGGGCAGAAAGCAAATGCCAGTGTGTGGGTGGATCTGGGTCCTTCCTTCCTGGGTTCAATGATGGCCCCAAAAGTGGCTCTGTGTGCATTTTGGAACTTGTCCTCGCCTGTGTCACCACTGACAAGTCGTCCTCAGGGGCCGTGTCCGCCCGATTGACCTGCCTCGATCAATAAGAACCTCAAATTTACACTAGGTGACACGCAAAATGCTACTTAATGATGCTTTGGGATCCCGGCTGTTGTATTCAAGAGGAGACGGAGACAAGAAACAAAGCAGTGAGTCCTTCTGTTCCTCAACTTGGTTATTGTTCGCGTCCGTCTCTTCCTCCGTGACGCTGTGTTTTTCTGCTTCCTCAACTTGTGTTAAGAGCAATCCAAAGCCAACCATGTGGCATAGACATGTCAGCAAGAACGGGCCCTTGACGCCCATTTCCTGGCGGGTCGCAAACAAACTTGAAAAACGTGTGCTTGAGGAGCACTGCGTTTGACTTGCTTTGAGGTGCCTTGGAGACAAATTGGGCGTTTCTTGACACCTTGGGTGAGAGTGTAAGGGCTTCGGATCTTCAAACAACGGCAGGCCTTGATCATATAGCCGCCGAGCAAAGGCCCAATGATGAAGGCAAATGTGGCAGAGGCTTCCCGAAACACCATGAAGCGCGGCAATCGTTCAGCTGGCACCACATCTGCCAAGTAGGCCTGATCTGATGGTTTTTCGACCATCCAGGGAAAGCTTCAAAAGTGTTTCTGACCTTCCAGTTGAAAACAGTCCACGAGATCCGCAACTCCTGCTGGGTTGTTGTATCGTTTTGAGTCACTGGATCTCATCAACCTCTTCGGATCATTGGCGTTCTTTATACTGTAGATAATTAGGTTGCAGGCCATCACTAGTAGGTTGAAGGCCATCGCTCTTAAGGTGGAGGCCATCGCTCTTAGGTTGGAGGCCATCGCTCTTAGGTTGGAGGAGCGATGGGTGGAGGCCATGGCTCTTGGGCTGGAGGCCATCGCTCTTAGGTTGGAAGCCATCGCTCTTACGGTGGAGGCCATCGCTCTTAAGGTGGAGGCCAT